TATATATATATATATAATAATACATTAAAAATGTGTCACTTTTATAACAAACAAAATATTTTTACTTAGATTTTTTTCTAATAGTTCTGTGATTAGTAATGTTATATTTGTAATATTACTCTGTGGGATGTAGAAATGGAAAGACATTTTTGTCAATTGGCGCTATTAATTCTTATGTACACATTTTAAAGTTTACATTGATAACATTGACAAATCTCAATCAAGGTTTTAAGAATTTAAGTAGTCTCATTTTTTACATACGCACACACGTAATATTATAAATAAACACTACAATATAAACCGATATAATATTCGATCCTAATAATATCTCTCATAGATATCTATTTATTAGATATTGCAATATATATCCAGAAAATATTCAGTAGATATCTCTGAACATCTGGTAAGGAAAGAAATTTATAAATGCTCTTCACATACATAATTCACAATATTTTTGAACAGGTATCAAAGCAGCGAAGAGCTATATTTTTACAATTTTTTTCACGTTTTTCTCTTATTCCGAAACTAAATATAAACTTTTATTCCGAAAATAAATAATTGTTCTCTACTATTAAATTGCATTACTTAGATCTCTATTGACTATATTTTTCTAAACATCACATTTTATTAACATGTGTTTTTAAACACTGTAATTAGAAACAAGAAAGTTATGTATATGTTGTAAATAAATACACACATATATACGTAGTAAAATATGTCTAATATGTATAAACACAATATATATCCTACCAGAAATGTATGTATAAAACATACATATGTACATGTGTGTATATATATGTACCATACATAAAAAATTTAGTTAAAAACTATACATATATATACTATACAACTACAGTCTATTGACACAGCTTCATTTTTTTTAACTATATGTGTATCAACTTTACACTTAAAAAATAAATTTTTCAAATATCTTAAAATACACGTGACAGTTCATGAACAACTATCGTTACTCTTACGACTGCCACTTATCATTTAGATATCGATAGTCAATTTTGAAAATTTCTTTTTGTTGCATCAAAGACAAAATCGAGCAATGTTATAATTCAGATTTCTTTAATATTTGTTTGCTTTTATTTAATAAAAATTTGTTTTCCATTTATATACATATCACACATCTCGACACAACTAATTAGTGCGCGAGATCGTTAAATCGATAATATATTTATATATGCATTAAAATAAATATAATATATAAATTAAAATAATGTTCCGATTATATATATATATATATATATATATATATAAATACTGTTTAAAAAAAATAATACAAATATGAATAGTCTTTTTCACCAGAACTATTGCAATTGCATTACTGCGTAAAAACCTGCATCTTTCGAGATTATTGATACAAAATATATTAAAAAAAGAAGTCCGTGGATACTCGTAAGAGTAACAGCTAAACTTCAATTTTACATAAAATAAATTTTCACGATAATTCCAAGTACACTTAACGTACACTTTTATAATAAAGCGCTTCATTCATATAGAGATATAAAATATTTGTCTTATCTTCAGGCCAATTTCAAATCACATGATACATTTTTAAAGTATTAATTGTTCTTTCTTTAATATAAAACGTTTGATAAAGTTTTTATCCAGAATATAAAGGGGTTTTAGAAGATTCAATATAAGTAGTAACAATTTATATCAGAGTTATATATTTATTTCATCACATTGTTTTGATATGTTTTGCTCTAAAATAGACACACAAATGTTTTCTTGCAAATAAGTTTTGCAAAATAATATGTATGTTTTTAAAAAGAGACCTGAAGATAACACGATATTTTTCACATATTAAAATTTCTTTTTTGATAAACTATTTGTATCAATTTATGTGTGTGTGTGTATATATATATATATATATATAGTGTGTGTGTGTGTATTTGCAAAACCCAAAAAAAGAAAATTATGAAATCACACAATTGTATAAGTAAAATATACAAATTTATATTTCGCTTAAAACAATAAAACAATGTACAAATACATTCAATCTTTTTCTAATTTAATGAGGAATTCTACAATTCTATAGCTTCTACCAACAATCTGGTAAAAATGTGTACTATCAATTTTACGTAAACTGTGTACGTACATAGCACATATATATACTGAAATATAGAAATCTAAATTTTCTTTTCTATATATATATATATTATATTTTTCTTTTTTTTCTTTAAAGTAAATGAAAGTAATTTCCCCCAACAAGTGTCATATAAATTAGTGTCTCAAAGATTGTTAACATTAAATTTAAACATAGTCATGTGTATGTATATATATTTTTTTTTTTCAAAGTTTCAAAGCTAACACGAATAATACGCGATTTGTATTTCGTTTTACGAATCTTAAATCACGTAGCTTAATGCTAGCTTTTAACATACTACATTCTTTATATATCAAGATGATCAATAATAGATATTTTGCTATTTTCAATTTCGGTTCGCAATAATTTTTTCATAACAATAAATTTATATAAATAAATATATATATATACATATATCATATATCATATATTATATATCATATATCATATATCGTATAAATATATATATATATATACATATATCATATATATATATATATGTAGAGATGTTTACTTCGAGGCCGTCTTTTAGAATTTACATAACAATAGTAAAAATCACTTATTACTCATAGGAAAACGAGTATTTTTATATAAAAAAATATTATAATTTTATTTTATTTTTTTTATAACGCGATAAAAATAATCAATCTTTTTCTTTTTCTCATAAGGTAAATAAAAACTTAAATCAATGTGAAAGAGGAATGTATCTTAGGTTGCGTATAAAATATATGTTTACTAAATGTAGCAAAAAGAATACGCAAACGTTAAAAAAATTTTTGATAAAACTGAAAAAATTATTGAGAACAGATCTTATATACATAAATGGTTTATATAAATGATCGGCATGATTTTTGAAAAAATGTATCTACAAGTCCTTATTCTCTGACCAGCAGAAGATTAAAGTGAAAGAACAACAAGAATTTAATAAACTTTTTTTCATGAAGATATAACAAATTCAATACTTTGACTTTTTTTTTTTGGAAGAACGGTTAAAAACTGTATAAGCTATATATTAAATGCCACTGCAACAAATTCATATCCCAAGATACACAGATATGATAAGAAACTATATTAACAAATGATGCAGTGTTGATGATTAATAATAGTTTTTTTTTTTATAGATCTTCGTTGATTTTTGAGATACAAAAGTCTGGATAAAGCTTGCTTGAACTGAAGGGTTGAAGATCAGTGCGAAGTGCTTTTTTTTTACTGAATGATGGGATTTAAGCGATGAGATCTTCGGCGCTGGTGAGATGCTCCAGTTACCTGACAGTCCTCCCCAACGCCACTGGGAATATCGGTTAGTCATCTGATAAATGCACTTTTATAACTTTTTGTTGTGCGCACACTGCAAGTCACAGAAATAAATGACATCGGTTCGTTAGCTACCTCTGGTGCTACTTGTATCGTTGCTTAAGCACTAAATAACGTTAAACGTACATATTACTTGTGTGAGGCCTGGACTAATATATAAATATCTCAACTTTCAAAATATTTTCAACTTTGTTGTTGCCCAGGTCTAATATAAGATTTAGTATGTATTGCATGCTTGGACAAAAGAGAAACAAAATTTATCGTGCCACACATGCGGATTATCGCTTTATCACTCAAAAGTGGCGATAAAAAAATTTTTTCCTACTATTTTTTTTTTTTTTTTATAATTTAAAATATCTTTTCTAAAATTTATACACAAATAAATAAGTTTTCAATAATTTTGGTGTTATAAAAGATACGAATAAAAATTTATATACAAAATAGATAATTCTATATTGAATAGAAATATATTGAATATTGAGAATGGAAATATATATATATATTCATTATGTACATACCACAAAAGACAAAAGAGATATAAATCTTTTAATTTAACATAAAATAAATGTGAGAGATAATTTTAATATGTATTGCATTCAATTATTAAATCTAGTAAATATATATATATATATATATGTATATATATACACACGCGCGCGCGTCGCGTATGCGTGTGTGTGTGTATGTGTGTATCTTTATAAACTTTATTTCCATAATGCCTGTAAAGATGAGTGATGATATACAAACAATGAAAACAGGATAGGGGTAGTTTTGTACAAAAAAATTGCACTTGCATAATGATAATGAAGCAAAGCTAATGGCTTCTGCGCACAGTATGCGGCAACACATAGATCACACGCGCGATGGTTAAATTAACGTTTTTTTTTTATTTTTCGGAATTATATTATCTATTATTTTTTACGTGGTCGCCGTGTCGACTCTTCTGCCGCGTTATGTTCAGGAGCCATGAGTGTTGTGAAAGCGATGAAAATATACAGGAAACGGGAGAAACGGGTTAAACTATTACAAATTTTTACTCAAACAAGCAAAAAGTACATAAAAAAAAACTGCATAACCATAAGATTTAGAGACCCAAACTCGAGAAACAGGCACGGTTATTGACTTACTGCCTGAGCGAATAGCGAGTAACTCGGTCTGCCGACCTGAGGATCATATTCATGCGTTGTTGCGGCTGCGGTACCGTATGATTGGCAGACGAGTTTGTAGCATGGGCCTGTGCAGCCATGCAGGAAGTACGTTTGGCCTTTCTCACTGGCTTTGATACGGTTAAAGATGTAACTGTATTGGTGGAAGTTGTATTGTTGTTATGGCTCTGTGTTGTCGGTTTAGACCTAATACGGCAGGAAGATGGATCACAGCTACTGCTGACCAACCAAATGTTTCTACAATTTCCAGTCACAATAAAGAAATCCTATGTCTCATTTGAATGGCGCGCATGCCGTTTATCGATAAGTAATAAAATTCAAATCAGCGGATGCTTATTACAAATGTGTGTTAATAAATTATAAATAGAACTTACAGAAGAGACCAAAATATTAATATAAAATATTAATAGAAAATATTAATAAACTATATATGGAAGAAATAGAGAAAAGATATAAGGTAATGTACAGAACGTAAAAAAAGAATTTGATAATGTGTAGAGGAAAAAACTGAAGAAATTTTACGTCTTCTAAACTACTTGTACTTGTTGGTCAAAATATATATATATATAATATATATATATATACATATATATATATATATATATTTGTCTAACCTTTTCACAACTGTCGTTGCAGATGAACGTGATAGAAGTCTTTTCGTAGGATCTCTCTCTTTATTTGCCGCTAGAGACGCAATAGTCCCCTTTTGACTTCTGGTTTGTAACAAAGGTCCCAAATAAGGACTGTAAATATAATATATATTCTATGTAGGACAAACTTAAAAAGGCAATCAGCCTTTTTAAAAAGCACGCGAAAATTAATTGTAACTTTTCACTTGTCCTACGTGGTGTATAAATAAAGAGATTGTGGAGTATTTATATTATCACATATTCTTAATGTACTTTAAGAGACCTTTTATGTAAATTGACATTATTATGTTAAAAATACTAAAATTTATAGACTAATGAATGAAAATAAATTGGGTTGTAAGAGCCGTTTGCAGAATGTTATGCAGAGAATGTGCTTAATTATATTGTATATATATGTATACACATATATAATTCGAAATAATTTTTTTCCTCCATATAGGACGCTATAGATTTGCGTCACATATATATGAAGGATACACCGAATATCCCCCTAACCAATTTTAAAATATTGCGAAAAAAAAAACTCCTCAGCCAAGAGTCGAACCTGAGTCGAGCCGTCGCCTTCCCTGTTAGGCTACCGAGGCTATTTGGAGTTTGTCTCGCAATACTTAGCACACATCTATCGAATATTGAACTGATAATAACGCCATCTTCCACCAGCGTAAATTTTTAATTAATAACAACAAGAAGAAGATTCTTCGGGCTCGGGAGTCTTTGGACTAATGAATGAAAATAAATTGGGTTGTAAGAGCCGTTTGCAGGATGTTATGCAGAGAATGTGCTTAATTATATATATATGTATACACATATATAATTCGAAATAATTTTTTTCCTCCATACAGGATGCTAGATTTGCATCACATATATATGAAGGACCCCGTATACCCCCCTAATTAAAATTTATAATATCGGTTTTATTTGAACTGGAAAGATCCATGTTACAAATGGATTGAATTGTTTTGTATATTAAATAACGCCGTGTTGTATACTTCAAATTGCTTTTATATTTCTCAACATAAATGTAAAATTTATTTGTTAAAATCTGAGGCTTGACCTGATTTTTGTATAAATTAAAAATCAGTAAAAATGTATAAAAATCGTTGATAAAAATAATAATGCACAGCACTTACTGTACGGTAGACGTCGTTGTACTTGCGAAAGGAGATTGTGTCATCGACATGCCTCTTCTTCTGGCTTTGATTCTGCACAATTTATCACCCTGAGTCAGTGTGTTACATCTAGGAGTAGCACTAGCTCCAGCTACCGGTCCAGGATCGTCCAATTTTATCTCGTCTACGCGATGCATTATACCGGATACATTATCCTCCACTAAACTCTTTAGATTTCCCTGGAAAGAAACTGCTCTGGGCCTGCCAGCTATTGAATATATCCCATATTTATGAACCGGATTTCCATTTTGAGGTTGCAATGGTTCCTTTAACAATGATCGAAGATATGCCTCTTTCCTAAAGTATATAACAATTTATATACATATATATATATATTTTTTTTACAAATATATATTTCATAGTTTTTTTTTCTCATAAAATAAAACACTAAATAATTCATAAAAAGAAACTAAAAGAAGTGACAAATACCCACTTCTCTAGCCACTGTTGCTGATGCCCAATTACAGAACCTGGCCTACATATCCTTATCCAAGCAATAGTTTCGTGAGCTGTTAAATGATAATGCTTCATAATGTAACAACCAATGAGAGAACCTGTTCTTCCAAGACCCGCTTTGCAGTGCACAGCAACGGCGCCGTTTGCATTTTCCGCTATTTTAAGAAACTGATGCATTATCGAATCCGTTGGTGTCGAACCGTCCACAAAAAATAAATCTTTATGAATAAAACCGGCGTCGGTGAAGCTTGATGCGTCGTAAACTTTTTTATTAAGTCGCACGACCGTTGTCACGTTGTTACGACGAAAATACGTAAAATATGATTCCGGACCGTGCAGTGGATAACCTATGGAAAAAATACTGTACAATCAATATGCATTGATACCGCTTGATACAACTGATATCATTTATGTATACACAGAAGTGCAGGGTTGGCAAGAAAAAACCAGGGGGTGGAAAAAACCATGGTAAATTCCGGTTTTAACCGTCCTGGACTTTATTCCTAAACTGGCATAAACTGGCAAAAATTATACAAATGATTAATACATGTATTTATATTATGTAGTTATAAAATTTATATTATTAATATTATATTATTTATATTATATTATATTAATATTATAGTATTAATACATGTAGTTATAAAACTTTTTACCAATCTATATCTTGTTCGCAATTATATTCAACATTTGTATTTAACATTCTATAACAGAAAACTAGTTTGTTTGATATTTCAACTCCTAATCTATTGCGTACTTTGGTTTGTATGAAACTTAAATTCGAAAATAATCTTTCTATTGACGCCGAACTCGCGCTGGACAGTTATGTAGATGCATAAAAAAATTAATAAATTCTGCAGGAAAATCATCATTTTTACATAATGCTTTCCACGACGTTCTGACATTTATATTTCTAGCTTTCTAAAAAAAAAAATGATTTTAGAAAACATTCTAAAATATTAAATATTAAATATTAATATTTAATATTAATATTTAATATTAAATATTTACTTCGGTTTAGAAAACATTAATTGTTGCCGGTTTTTTTCCAGAAAATACCTGGAAAAACCGGTTTTTACCACTGGCACGGACTTTTTCCAAAAAAAACCGGACTTTTGCCAACCCTGCAGAAGTGAATATAGACCGATTGACTCTCCAATGCGTTAACAATGGTTTTGTTCAGAAAACTCAACAGTTGCGCAACGATTGAGAGATCATCAATTGTAACAGAACTATTTTTTAAAACTGCCACGGTTTCAAAAGTACGGTCCACAATCATAAGTGATCATCTCTCAACCGTTGTGTGCAATTGTTGAGTTTCTCAACGTAACTAATGCTCTAGTCGGCAAAAAAAAAAACAAAAAAAAAACAAAAATCAACCTGATGTCATTGGTACACTTATCATTAAATATGTACCATCTTCCATCTTAGATCTTGCGTGTGGACCACAAAAAGCAATAAATTTCCCAGGAACTATCCAATTTAAATCCCCATTCTCCACCCTTTCAAAGTGTTCGTATTCTTTATAACAGAAATCTTCGAAATTAAAGAAACCGAGTAGATGGCACTTGTATATAGCACTTAGACAATCCTTCAACGATATTTGATAGCAAGGTGGTCCGATGGAAGCATCGCGGAACATGATGAAAGAAGGAGTATTTGGACTTTTTGTCAAACATTCATACGCTTCCTGCGCTGTACGCTTGCAGTACAATATCTAAAAACAAAGATACGTGTGAATTTCTTTTGCACATCAATAAATACCAGTCTTCCTACTTTTTATTGAAAATGTAAGAAAAAAAATATATATATATATATATATATAGTGTTTATAAAATATTGTAGAAAAAAAACTTTGGTTTATTACCGCATAACTTCCTATGAGAAACGCAGCATTTACTCTTTTTTTTGCATCCATTATACTCGTATAATGTACAAGTTTCTTTTTGCTAAGAGCAATGCCCTTTAACTTTTTGTTTACTTTTTGGCAGTACCTGTAGAGCATTGCTAAATTCAGAGGACCAAAATCAGCATAAAAATTTTCATACACCAATTCGTGATCGATACTGAAGTAATGTGTGTTTGGAGTACTTTTTGGTCTTATTTGCGTTCTAAGAGTCACAAAATATAATCGATCTGGAAAGAAAAGACAAAATAAGTAAGATTATTTATAAGTAAAAATTTATATACATATCTTATATAAGATTTATATCTTAGATTTATAATACAAAATAAAAAAAATCTAAATCTAATCTTTAAACTTAAAAAAACCAAATCTAATTTTTAAAAATTAAAATATTTCAAAAGAAATTTAATATAAATAATAAAAAAAAAAAAAACTTGAACTTTCAAACTGAAAGGATTTTTTGTGAAAAAAAAACCATATGTATAAAAAATGTGCATAATCGAAACAAATACAAAAAAACAATTTTTATTGAACTTCCAGAAAGGATGTTTTATTTAAAAAAAAAAAACAAACAAAATGTATAAAAATCAAAAATACATGAACAAAAGTATACAACAATTTTGATACCATAATGGAAAAAAAAAAAAAAAAGATACAATTCTATTTTCCAATTATTAAAAATAGACTAATCTGCAGCGGGATAACGGATTACCTTTTATGAATTCAGCGGCACATACCAAAACCTCGTTTGTATCTTCCATCGTGATCCAATTGTGGATGTAATACGGCGTAGTAAAATAGATACCGATCAGGTGGATCTGTCATCAGCCTGATGTTAAATGCAAATGCGAGTGTTCAATTAGCGCGATATATATATATATATATATATATATACATATATATAGGCAAGCACGTAATAAACACGCTGGTAGGTAGTTACGTAGTTTAGGTAGGTGTAGGGTAAGTAGGAGAGTAGGCGGGTAACTAGGCGAAGTGTCTTCTATATAAACTCTAGCAAAAGGAGTCTCTCTGCTGCCTACACGCGCTAATCTTTAATTACGTGTGTAACGTGCGCCGTTGTTAAGAGACTCCGCGCAGAAGACGTCATACGGTTGGAGGGAATGCGTGTTGTGTGCGCACAGAGATTTCGCCAGACGACGACGACGACGACGACGACGACGACGACGATGACGACACTGCTCGCACACCTCCGATTTGTTTTATACACACGGGGGCTCGTGAAGGAGAAGAAACACGCGCTTGACACTTAAAGACTCGAGAGAGAGAGAGAGAGAATGACCGTTACGGAGAATTCAAACTCTTTGGGGGGGAAAAAACGGAACCGGAATTTCGGCGATGGCCGCTGGTAAATGCGGGCGCGCGTCTCTCCGCGGTCTACTCTATTCCCGTCTGCTGCTGCTGCTGTTGCGGCAGTTTCGCGTGAAAATTTTTACATTTGCGTTGTAATAGCTCGCACTTTGCATATTATTACGTCGTCGGAACATTTTTACGTAATTAACGGAATGTTTTGCGCATCTCGAGCGAATCTCCTCGTCGTCCTCGTCGCTGCTGCTGCTACCACCACCGCCGCTGCCGCCGCCGCCGCCGGTCACCATTATCCGCCGAAAGTCGAGCAGAGCGCGACTTTTGATTCGGTCGCCGCCATCTTGCTCGCTGCCGCCCGCGCGTAGTGGATTGTCGGGTTGAATCGTTCTTCTTGATGATGATACCGGTGCTGCTGCCGACGACGAAATGACAATCGCGCGATCGTGGTCGCAAAGAACATCGCAAAACGAGATCAATCGATTTGTGACGGTTTCACATAAAATCACACGTACCGATGAACGAGTGGGGTTTAAACGTCTCAACAACGAGCGTCAGCTGTCGCCGCTACGCCGCCGACGATGTTCGACGGTCTGACGTTAGCCGCTCGCGCAAAGCAAATCGCAGTGCGAATGCGCGCGCGCGTCTAACGGTCGAATTTTGATACGGTGGGTCGAGTGTTGGATGGATTTGCGCTCGCTCGAAAATCAGCCAAGACAGCGGCGGAATATATATATATATATATATATTCGGAAGCAGATTTACTATAAATTACAAACGTGTTTAAATGTATAATACATATATGTATGGATTTAAAAAAAAACATCGGTTTCGCAATTATTCAATTAAAGACGATTTTTGGCGATCGTATGGTACGTATACCAAAGTGTACCAAACTATAGTTCGAGTGACTTCAGATTATAGTTTGGTACACTTTGGTATATGTATCATACGATCGCCAAAAATCGCCTTAACTTAGGCTGTGTTCTCCAAAATTCACTGCCAGCGATAAAGATCTATAGTTTGCGTCACGTATATTATACAATTTTTAGCACTGGCGTCGTGCTGGCGGTAAATTTGGAACGCAGCCTCAATCGTCTGATTGGGTGCGTTCAGACAACTCAACGGTTGAGAGATCATAGCTTATGATAGGACTAATCTTCAAAATCTGGAGCGGTTCCAAAAGTATGATCCAATCAGAAGTGATTATCTCTCAACCGTTGTGCAACTGTTGAGTTGTCTGAACACACTTATTAGGTGCGTTCAAANAACTCAACGGTTGAGAGATCATCNCTTATGATAGGACTATTCTTCAAAATCTGATGCGGTTCCAAAAGTATGATCCAATCAGAAGTGATTATCTCTCAACCGTTGTGCAACTGTTGAGTTGTCTGAACGCACCCATTGTTCTATTGGTATTGACCAATCGCATTATTTGTTTCAGCCGAATTGATCAATCACGGTTGTGGCTTTTACATTGAGCGTAACTTGCGTCAGCCAATCAAATCGTCTTAGCGTATTTGCGCATGGTAACTGAGACGATTTGATTTGATGACGCAAGTTATACGCTCACTGAACTATAAAGCCTGTTCTACATTGGGTGCGTTCTGACAACTCAACAGTTGCACAACGGTTGAGAGATAATCACTTCTGATTGGATCATACTTTTGGAACCTCTGGGTGCGTTCAGACAACGCAACGGTTGAGAGATCATCACTTATGATTGGACTATTCTTCAAAATCTGGAGCGGTTTCAAAAGTATGATCCAATCAGAAGTGATTATCTCTCAACTGTTGTGCAACTGTCGAGTTGTCTGAACGCACCTAATGGGTGCGTTCAGACGGTGCGGTTGAGTTGTCTGAACGCACCCATGGTCAATGGCAAGGCGCGTTCCATATTATAGTTCAGTGGCCACAACTGCGCCAAACCAAACTAACCTTGGAAAAAATTTGGTGTCCCACACCAATTCGTCTTCAACAAATAATTTACATTTATTTAGACACAGACTGGCGTGTGAATTAACAGAGTAGGTTTTTTACAGAGCCATAATATTGCAAAGAAGTAACCATGTCATAACGTCAAGTTATTGTAGGTTACTGCGTTGCGTTTCGTGGGGAGAGAAAAATTTTGTTTAGTCTTCCTATAATAAAAAAAAAATAAAAGTTAATAAAAAGGAAGTATAATTATTAACAAATTGTGGAAGTCTCTTGTTCTCGTCACAATACGTGGTACGTATAGCCAATTATTTAATTTGAAAATATTCAAATGTGTTTTATACACATATTGTTTCACATATAGTATTCCAACAATATTATTGCATTCACGTTTTCTTTTGACAGAAGTAAAACAAAACTAAATAATATCAAGAAAAATGGAAAAAATAGACAATATGGACGTTGATTCTTTGGACGAGAGCACTGTTCCCGCTCCTTTTGTATTCTCCAAACCAAACGCTATAGAAAATCCTCCAAGAATTATTAACTTTGGTCTAGGATCGGATCATTGTTTCGATATTTCTTCTAGTAAAAAAAATATGTTTACCTTTGCAGCACCTACGGTAGTGTCGCAATATAGTTCGGATTGTACAAGTTCTCTAAATAACAAATCCAAGTACAAACCTGTAATTTCGAGAACTAAGACGTACGAACCAACGGTGAATGTGTTTGCAAACGCTCTCAAAGATACGGGAGCGTTCGAACAGCTTAAGAAGAATTCCAGGTCGCAAGTTGCCAAAGTCAACATAAATAACGCGATAACGTGTTCCGGTGTTCCCAAAGAATTGCTAACCAAGTCAATGGCAAAGGAATACTTCATGAAATACGGAAATATTGTAAAATTAACCGTTCGTCCGAAGAAATGCATAATTGTGGTGGTATACGCCAAGAAGGAAGAAGCAAATAACGCGTACTACAGCGCCGGGGAATACAAGGGCGATAAGTTTCACATAAGTTGGACCAAGATGGAATCGCTGCTGAAGGCACCGTCCAAGAAGAAAGATAAAAACATAGTAACAAATTTACTCAAGGCGAGTAACGACGAGATCAAATACGAATTGGAAGCTATGGCGCAATTGGAATACAATTTGCATCCTGTCAAAGGTGCCGAGCTTGTGTCCGACGCGAACACATTGCTGCCGTTAAAAATCAGAACACCGGGTGGGAAAACAACGTCAAAATTAGACAAAGCAGCTGCGAAAGATAAACCGGATGCCGAGATTCAAAAAGCCAAATCGTTGCCCACCACGCAAACTTCGATGGAAGAATTGCAAAATATAATACATCAAGTTGCCGTTACGGCCGAGGATAAGTACAAAGTGTTGGAGGCCAGAGATCGTCTGATGAGATTGAAACGAGTCAAACCGGCTTCGCTCGCGACCGCCAAAGTCACCACCGGCACATGTCCCGACATGTGTCCGGAAAAGGAACGTCTCATGCGCGAATCGCAGAGACAGGTCGCGTCCTACGAACAATTGGAGGCAAACGAGTACAAGATAAATCACGTGACGGCCATCAAGCAATATTCGAGATCTTCGGCGGATCAGGAGGAACCGATGCCTCACGAATTGAGACCGGTTAAATCGTTGAAAATGACCATGAGCTACTTGCTTCACGAAATAGTTGATCTCTGCGAAGACGAGAGCGCAAATCTGGCCGAATGGTATCACTTTTTGTGGGACCGAACCAGAGGAATAAGAAAGGACATCACCCAGCAGGAATTGTGTTGCGTCGACAGCGTCGAATTGATCGAACAGTGCGCTCGATTTCACATCGTCTGCTCGGAGAGACTTTGCGCCGAGGACTCGTCCGTGTTCGACAAGAAGATCAATTCGGAAAATTTGACCAAATGTTTGCAAACGTTGAAGTACATGTACAACGATCTGAGAGTGAAAGGTATCACTTGCGAAAACGAGGCGGAATTCAGAGCTTACGTGGTTTTGCTCAATTTGAACAACGGCAATTTTCTGTACGATCTGCAACAGTTGCCGAGATCCGTGCAAAATTCGCCGGAAGTTCAGTTCGCGATCAAAGTTTACTTCGCACTCGACTCGAACAATTATTACAAATTTTTTCAACTCGTTCGAGAAACAACTTACTTGAACGCTTGCATATTGTTGAGATATTTCAATCAAATCAGACTGAAGGCTTTTCGCGTTATAATCAAAGCTTACTGCAGAAGCACGCAAACCGCGTTTCCTTTGTACGAACTGATAGATATATTGGGTTTCGAGAACGAACGGGAAGCCAAATATTTCTGCGCCCAAGTCAGACAGAGTTTGTCGGACGACGACTTGCACGTTTATCTGAATCGTCAGAATTTCGTTATGCCGGCGGTGAACATACCGCAAATCCGGGCTTTCAATCTGATCGAATCCAAGAGAATTTCTTTGAAGTTCACCGTCGGACAGTGTATCGCCGGTAAAAAAATGCCGGAGAAAACCTACTTGAATCACAAGCCGCACAACAGTTTCGACGCTAACGGAAATCTGAAACCCGAGTCCGTCAACGCCGCTGATCAGAATTCGAATATTAATTTCGAGGTGCAAGATTCGTACGAGTTTGGGGAAAAAGAAACGAAGAAGACGACGCCGAGGTCGATGACGGGAGACTCGAAGAATCAAAACGCCGCGAAGAACGGCAGTAGTCCGGCGCGAATTAAGAAACAAACGTTAACAAACGCGAGCGTGGAATCGACGGGTGTGTCCCATAAACTCGCGTCGGTTTCCGAATCGGTTTCCGTCTCGGATATCTTCAAAACATCGGTATCCGATGCGTACGAACGTTCGAGAGACAAATTTGAGGAAAAGTCTCAATCGAGCGCGCAAGTAAAATCGATATTTGATCAAAAATCGGACGACAGAGCGAAAGCTCGCGAAAATACAGTCGCAGGTAACGACAAACAACAGCCTGCAATTTCTTCAATTAGCAACAATAATAATTTGTTCAAAAATTCCACAGTATTTTCCAAGCAACCGGAAACGTCGCGCGGTGCGGAATCAGTCGCCTCGTTTCAATTGGCCACGAGCAAGAGCATCTTCTCCGGCGCGGGATCCGGAAATATATTTTCGAGGCACGTTGTTCCCCCTCCTCCCCCTCCTCCCTTTCCTTCGTCGTCTTCTTCCGCATTTGGTGGCAATGTTCGATTTCCCGCACCAGTTTCCAAGGTTGGGTAAGTTAAATTTTTTTTTTTTTTATTTAAGTTAAGTTACGGTTAAAGGTCTTAAGAGGGTACTGGAGCCCGGCTTGTAAACTGGATAGAGAGACCTGTAAACCGACGTTTTTAGAACCTAAAAATTTCTTTATTTTTTAATTTTATTTACTGCACAACATTAAAAGCGCTTCCACAGAAGCAAATGAATATACAAAACTATATAAAGCTTTTGAAAATGGGTATATAATGCTTTTTTGAACTTGTTTTTCATTCATAATGATAGTATATGGTATATCAAATACACATCATCACAATATTACTTTTTGTGCATCAATTAGACAATCAAATCATATTCTGAGTGATTTCATTAGATTGTTTTGTGTCGTATGTATTGCTGTAGTTCGGTGTAAATACGTACATAAGCTTAGAAAAAATTTTATATACACGAATATATGTGAGATTTATAGAAGAAAACTGTATAAGAAAAAATTTATGCTGAATTTTGACATTCCAAAGAACAACAGCAAACTCTTAGCATAATTTACTTATTTCTGTAGAAGCGTTTTGGATTTGATGCAGTAAATACGGCACAAAACGAAATATTAAAACGTCGATTTGCAGGTCTCTATAGTCGGTATCCAGTACCCTCTTAAAAATTTTATTTAGTTAAGATACAAGTTAATCCACAATGAAATTAATTGATTAAAAGTTAAGTTAATAAAAAAAAATAATTAACAAGTTAAAAGTTAAATTTTTTTTTATGATTTTTTAGTGTTTTAGTC